GGGGGGGGGGGGGGGGTGCTGAGGGCTGCAGACTTAGAGGGTCCACTGGGCTGAGAGAAGGCAAAGCGTCTGGGCTGAAGAAGTGGCTGCAGAAAGAAGGGAGTTGCCGGGCTGGTGGAATGGAAGGCCATGGCAGAGCAGAAGGTGCCCAGGTCTGCTTTTGGTCCTCTCTGTCCCGACTTCGGCTAGGTTGGATGCTGCCTGCTCCCAGTGCCCCCCATTACTGCGCCCCTCCCTCCACTGCCCCAGGGCTCTGACCCACCTGTCACGTTCAGCAATTTGGGGAGGAAGCGGTTCCAGAAAGCGCAGATCTGGGCACGCAGGCTGCGGTCCGTGGCCAGCGGCTGGGTGTTGAGCTTGACGTACTCCTGCTTGGAGGGGGTGTACGTGGGCCAGGCACTGCCCTTATCTGCGGGGTCCGTGGGGCTCCTGTGTGGAGACAGGAAGGGTGACCTGCTGTTTGCAGACAGGCCTCCCCGCTATGCCTGCCTCGTGCCTTTCTCTGTCCGGGTGCAGCATGACACCATCACCCCCTTGCCCCCCTCCGGCTTCCCCACCGGGCCTTCCCCTCCTCTCCAGGCAAGGCACTGTCGGAGTCTCTCATTTCCAAACCCAGGGCACCCTCGGACCTCCCTGGGCTGCCAGCCCCCCGCCCCCATTTCCATCTCCAGTCTACAAACCAGCCGTCTTCCATGCAGATGTGCAGGGACAAGGCTTTGAACGAGATCTCGACATTTAAAAGCAGATTTTAAAAGTCCCTTTTTCCTTGAGGCATAAACCCAGTCTAACTCCAGCTGTCATTTAAGTTTGAAGCCTGAAGATCTGCTTGAGAGTTTTGTTGCCAATATTCATTTCCACTTTTACAAATAGCCGTTTCCTGCATTCCTAGTCTCTCCCTTTCCTTGGTACCGTCCAGGCTTCTGCCTCCCCTCCATTCCTTGACAGGTGGGACCCTCTGCATCGTCAGGATCCAACTGTTCTTCTCCCCCCTGCCCCATCCTCCCCAGTTACCCTGTCCGGGCGAAGTTGACCCAGTAGCGCATCATCCTCCGGCTGAGCTCCTTCTCCTGGGCCGTGTAGTTGAGGCTGTCGTTCAGGGGCAGTCCAAAGACAAACTCAATCTCGTAGCCATGGGGGACCCCCATCCACAGCGGCCAGATAAGGTTGGAGGCTCGGTGGTCAAAGAGATAGGCATAAACCTTGTTGCCGCGCTCTGCGTAGCGTGTCGCAAAGTGCATGACCGGGCAGATGACATTGTGGTCCCCCACAATGTCATCCATGGCCTCCCGGTTCTTCTCCCGGTTGTCTTCGTCTTGCCAGTCGGTGTACTGCAGTACCACGGCTTCAGTGGCAATATCGTTGGCATGTGGCACGCCGAGCCGCACCCCCTCCAGGAAGTCCTCCCGGCTGATGAGGCTCTCATTGTCCTTGCTGAAGCCAGGGACCCCATAGATCAGGAAGTAGGTGCCCTCGTCTTTGACCACCCCCAGCAAGACCTGGGTCTCCTTGAAGTTTCCTGTGCTGAGCATGGCTTCGGGGGTGTCAGGAAAGAAGTCCCCGTCGATGACTGGCACAAAGGAAAAGCGGAAGATGCTCTTGTAGGGGAGGACAGACCACTCTTCGTCGATCAGTTCCTGGGGTGTTTTTGAGCGCAGGCAACTCACCAGCTCAGAATCGTTGGTGAAGTGGCAGCCCACCCTCTTCCCCAAGAGGGTGGCACGGCGCCGACTCTCTGCTGGCGTGATGGTGGCCCATGGCCCGTTGGGTGCCCCGCTCTGTAAAATGGCCCGTTGGAAGAGCGAGCGGCTTTGGGATGAAAGGAGGTGCATGCCAACGGAGGCAGCCCCGGCACTCTCACCAAAGATGGTGACCGTTTTGGGATTGCCCCCAAAATACTGGATGTTGTTCTGTATCCACTGCAAGGCCAGGCGCTGGTCCAGCAGGCCCATGTTGCCTGGGGCCTCCTGACTGCCCAGGAGAGCCAAGAAGCCAAAGGCCCCCACGCGATAGCTGATGGAGACCAGGATCACGTTCTGCGTGTAGCTCAGGAAACGCCCGTCATAGACGTCCAGGGACGCGGAGCCGCTGTAGAACCCCCCTCCGTAGATCCAGACCAGGACAGAGGCATTCTTGGGGCGCGGGGAGGGCACCCAGGCATTGAGGTAGAGGCAGTCTTCGCTCATGTTCCGGTTCGGGTTCCACATTTCGGTGCCATGGAATCCAGGGTAGGTATTGTCCACCAGCTGGTAGCAGGCGTGTTGGTAGGAGGTGGCGTTGAGAACGTGCTGCCAGGGCTTGACTGGTTCCGGGCGCAGGAAGCGCCGCCTGCCCACAGGGGGCTCCGCAAAGGGGATGCCCAGGAAGGCCGAAATGTGGCCATCGAGAACCGGCATCCGGATGCCGCGCACCCAGCCCGTCTGAGTGGCAACTTTCAGCTCGTCCGTCTGGCCAGGCAAGACTGCCGTAGAGGGTGGGACGCAAAGAAGGGCCAGGAAGAGCTGGAGCGACCAAGGCCGTGGCGCAGGCATCTTGCCAGACTGGCAGGAGATCACCTGTGGGGGAGGGGGGCAGAGTGAAAAAGGTCTCGGCGCCTCCCCCCCCCCGCCCCGCTGGGTCCTGCCTGTGCCTGATAAAGGCGCTTCTCTGAGCTCGCCAGGCAGATAGCAGCGGGCGAGGGAGGAGCAAGGAACGGCGTCCCCACCAAGGGGGAGGCCCTGATCCGGCTGCCTTCCTGAAAGGAGAGCTTTCCAGAGAGGAGAACAAGAGGTGCCCCGCAGGGGGCTCATTGGTGGCTATTGTTCACCGGCACCAATGGGCACGTGCAGAGTCCCTCCCACTAAGCAATCACAGGCTGCCCGTGCAGACTCCCAGGCCAGAGTAACCCTGTTCACAGAAAACATTTCATCGGGTCAGTTCCTAACCTGGTTAATTCTCCTTCGTGGCTCTGGCAGTACACAGTTCCACTGGCTGGGTCGAAAGCCACTATTTGGGGCATAGAATTTCCCCCCCTCCTTCATGTCCCAGGAGCTTCTGCACCAGGAGGGCTTCCTTGCATCGCTAGCATCCTTTTCCTGGACGTGGCTTCGACCCTGACGCCAATGTGGGGGGGCTTTGGGGTGCTGCCAGGCCTCGGCAGTGACTGGCGATGGAGAGGCCCACCTTTCATCCGTTCAGCCTTTTTGCCTGGGGGACCGGCTGGGCAGAGGGGCGTACCTGACCCTTTAATCCAAGGCTGCTTCAGAATGGCCACCTCCTGCTCCGCTGCTGACTGGTCACACACCGTATGTCCGTCCCCCAGGCTGGGCTCAGGCACTTGTCCTGGAAGGGTGAGTTTCTCGTGGCTTTTAACCCAGTCTGGGGGCAACAGCGGAGTTTCTGGGAATACTAAGTCCAGGAGCCTTTTGAAGGAGGGAGAAGAGCCACGTTCATGCGTGTGTTCGTGGGCTTTCTGCTTCCCAGGCTCCCAGTTCATCCCTGAGGGATCTTCCACCTTCTCCTGCTATCTTTCTTCCTCCCTGTAGAGGAGTGCGATAACTTCGAAGAAGGGGAGGGAGGGAGGGAGGGAAAGACGGAAACTCAAGATTGCCCTGCCATGATTCTCTTTGGTATGGGGTGGGGTGGGGTGGTGGAGAAAGAAACTCTGTCAGACCTTCAAGATTTTGTTCTTAGATGCTACAGCAATAAAGTGGAGTTTCAGTAGCCCTTGTGGAGTCTGTTTCCTAACCTGGCCTACCAGGAATGGCCGAGGGTCCCTCCTGATCCCGGGTCGAATCTCTCTGTTGTTTGGGAATGGAGAGATGTTTCAGGTGGGATCCTTTATGTATTCTTCAGAAGGCCTCTCCCGGTGTCTTTTACATAGGCAGACCACTGAAAAACTGGTATTAAAAATGATTGGCACCCCACTCAGGATAGCATTCCCAAATGGCCCCTTCAAGGGATGCTCTGGACCAGCTGAGAGCCTTGGCATGCTCTTGGCATTCTCCGGGACCTGCTGATTAGGCCATTGATTAAACAGTGCCTCCGGGGGGGCCAGGAAGCAGGTCTTCTCCACAGTAGTGCCTGCTCCAGAGGGCCTGACTGACTCATTATGCAGTCAGGTGAGAAATAACAATGGGGGCGGGGGGGCTTTTTCTGAATCTGCTGCTTGATAGGCCCCCTTACAAGGATCAGCTGAAATGGCAAGTGAAGGAAGGGCCTCAGAATGATAAGTAAAAGTCTACATTTCTAGATGTAATCGTTGGGGTGAGAGAAGGGGGCAGGGGCAGAATCCCATGGATGCGTTTGGGCACAGGAAGGCAACTTCGTCAGGAAAAACGTCTTCACTGCTCAGGGCTGGTTGGACAAAGGTACAGATTGCCCAGCCGGAGCTGCGGGTGTCCAGGTGGGCTCTGCTGGAGATGCTGGGAATTGGACCCCTGGATGGAGCAGGGCCGAACCGGGTGACTTCAAGCCGAGGAGTCCGTGGCACTGGAAATTCTCTTAACTTCCAGATTATACCCTGGACTTCTCTTATGGGTTGTTTGCGGTGGTCACTTGTAGAAGAGTCTAATTACACGTGGGCTGAAAAAGGACAGGAGACCTCCAGGAAGTATGCAGTGCGATTTGGACACCCAGTTTCTATTCCAGGCCAGTTGCCCAGCAGCTGTTCAGCTATTTAAAGAACACAGGTCTGAAATAAACGGGCAGAGCCTTATATGCTTGTGTGAGAGTGCCAGCAAACAAGGGAATGCCGGGGGAGGGGGGGAGGAGGCAGGGAGGTGGTGAACCTTTTGCAACGGGCTCCTAGTCTGTGCAGGAGAAGTGCCCCTTATTGGCCTGGCACGAGTGTTTAAAGAAAGAGTGCAGAAGTACCCATTTGAGGCCTTGGGCTTCTGCTCATGCTGGAGTCAAGGTAGCTGTCTCTTGTATTGTCGAAGGCTTTCACGGCTGGAATACGACAGCTGATGTGGGTCTTCCAGGCTGCGTGGCTGTGCTCTCGAAGTTTTGGTTCCTAACGTTTCGCCAGCATGTGACCGGCATCTTCAGAGGACAGGAGCCTGTCTGTGCTCCTGTCCTCTGAAGATGCCAGTCACAGATGCTGGCGCTAGCAAAACGTTAGGAACCAAAACTTCCAGAGCACGGCCACGCAGCCTGGAAGACCCACATCAGCCATAGCTGTCTCTTCTTTAGAGCGGGGGGGGGGCTGTAGCCTTTTCCCCAGTGAGGCTAGGCAGGAAAATGATTCCACCTGCACCCCTGTCATCACGGACCTGTCAGGAGATCCCTGAGCTGGCACTCGCTCCCTCCCCCCCACGGATCAGCAGCTGAAAACCAACTCAGTCCTTGGTACTCAGGACATCTGAGTGCCTTTGCCTTTGGGCTGGCAGCCACCAACTGAGTTCCCTCCACAGAGAAGCAGGCTGGCTGCAGGAAGGGTCTCCTTCAGCCTTGCCCACTGCTGGACGCTTCCCTTCCTGGAGCCTGGCACTTCCTTGCCCCAAAGTGAGAAGCCCCGCTTCCTGCCTCCCCCCACAGGTGAGGGTCTGCTGGTCCTCTTGCCTGCGCTGGTCCTAGAAGTGGCCCTTCCTCGGGCAGCCTTGCTGGTGCCTCAGCGCCTGCCCGCCTGCCCACCTGCCTTGAGGACTCCAAACCAGTCTGGCTTCAGCCAGGATCTCGGGAGCCCAAAGTCCTTGACAGACATTGGTCAGCTGCTGAGAGAGATGGTGGCTGCAGCCTTGCTTGCTTGCCCCCCACCCCAGGCCTTCTCTGGTTCTTTCCTAGTTGTGACCTGATCAAGCCCACATTCTTTGTTATGATCAGACTGGTTATCCACAGTTGATGCAGTCATGGGCCCTCCATTAGCCTCAGATGGGGAGCTAAAAAGTGCTACACCAACAGATGCTTGCAATCTGCAGGTGAAATGCTGTGGGTCAGGGTTGTGCGGGCACAGCCCTTATCTTCCAGTCTCGCTCTTCTGACGTGTGCAGCACTCCTCGCTTGGGTCGTCTGCAGAATGGGAGCAGGCAGGTGGCTCGGGGAAGGACAGAGCTTGGTCCTCTTCAGAAGCTCTCCCAAAGCTGGCTGGACGTGTGGGTGGGACACTCAGGGTGGGGATCCACAATAGCTCCCGAACTCTGGCCCTTTGGTGGAGGGGTGGGAGATGGAGTTCCAGCCACATCAGAGAGAGAAGGCTGTTGGTAGGGGCCCACCCAGAGGGTCTTCCAGCCCAGTTGGGCAGGGCGGGGACTGTGGGCATCCCTCTTTCTAGTTGCTGCTGACAGGAGTCTCCCCAGCACACCTTGCGCCACTCCAGAGAGCCTGACTGGGGGGCAGGGAGGAAGGGCCTAGTACATGCACGCTTCTCCCCCCCCGCCCCCCCCG